TTGTTTTTGAGAACATAAGAACTAGGAGCAGGAGTAGGCCATCTGGCCCTTCGAGCCTGCTCCGCCATTCAATAAGATCATGGCTGATCCTTTCGTGGACTCAGATCCACTTACCCGCATTCTCACCATATCCTTTAATTCCTTTATTGTTCAAAAAAAACTACCTTTTTTTTAAAAGCGTTTACCGAAGTAGCGTCAACTACTTCACTGGGCAAGGAATTCCATAGATTAACAACCCTCTGGGTGAAGAAACTCCTTCTCAGTTCAGTCCTAAATCTGCTCCCTCTAATCTTGAGGCTATGCCCTCTTGTCCTAGCTTCACCTGCCAGTGGAAACATCCTCTCTACTTCTATCTTATCTATTCCCTTCATAATTTTATATGTTTCTATAAGATCCCCCCTAAATCTTCTGAATTCCAATGAATATAATCCCAATCTACTCAGTCTCTCCTCATAAACCAACCCCCTTAACTCCGGAATCAACCTAGTGAACCTCCTTTGCACCCCCTCCAGTGCCAGTACATCCTTTCTCAAGTAAGGAGACCAAAACTGCACACAGTACTCCAGGTGTGGCCTCACCAGCACCTTGTACAGCTGCAACATAACCTCTCTGTTTTTTATTTCAATCCCTTTAGCAATGAAGGACAAAATTCCATTTGCCTTCCTAATTACTTGTTGTACCTGCAGACCTACCTTCTGTGATTCATGCACAAGGACACCCAGGTCCCTCTGCATAGCAGCATGCTGCAACTTTTTACCATTCAAGTAATAATCCTTTTTACTATTACTCCTACCAAAATGTATGACTTCACATTTATTTACATTGTATTCCATCTGCCAGACCTTTGCCCACTCACTCAATGTATCTATGTTCCTCTGCAAAGTTTCACAGTCCTCTGCACACTTTGCTTTGCCACTCATCTTAGTGTCATCTGCAAACTTTGACACCCTACACGTGGTCCCCAGCTCCAAATCATCTATATAAATTGTAAATAATTGCGGTCCCAACACCGATCCCTGAGGCACACCACTAGTCACTGACTGCCAGCTAGAATAGCACTCATTTATCCCCACTCTTTGCTTCCTGTTAGTCAACCAATCCTCTATCCATGCTAATACCTTACCCTTAATGCCATGCATCCTTATCTTATGCAGTAGCCTCTTGTGTGGCACCTTGCCAAAGGCCTTTTGGAAGTCTAGGTACACCACATCCACTGGGTCCCCATTGTCCACCTCGCTCGTAATGTCTCCATAGAATTCCAAAAGATTTGTTTTTAAATTTTGTAATAATAGCTTTAATTTTGTGGTTGTAGTGATAGAAAAAACACAGTCAGCATTTACTGTCATTACACTGTGTAACTTCTTAACACCTGCAAAGTTAAATGCAGAAATCCAAAAGTTGCTGTTAGCAATTGAGAGGGTGACTGACTGCTTGTCTCTGTGTCCTCATTTCCCCCTTCATACTGAATGTCGTATTTCTGTGTTGTAAATTGTAGGCAATTTGTAATTTTATGTCGTCATTTAATCCACATTCAGATGTGGCTTCAAAGATGACACAGATTTTTAATTTCTTTTTGAAACAATTCATCAAACGCTAAAACTTATCCTAAACATTCAAACATTTTCAAGTTCAGGGCTATCAACTTAATTCAAGCATGTTGCTGAGGTTTTTGTGAGCGCCAACGAGCAGTTCACTCGGGATAGGAAATCTGCAGCTCTATGCGTGTGTGTATGTGTAGCTACTGGACTGTAGTAAGTGCAGGTAGAAAATATAATGCAGTAAGGTACCGAGAGGTGAGCTGCAGTGAAGATTATCCCCAAACTTAATAAAAACAGTTTGCATTCATATATTCTGGTACATCCAGGGAGATTGAATAAAAGTTGCTTAGTGTTTTATTCCATTGTCTATTTTAATTGGGATCTCTTAGAAGTCCATTATACCTATTCATTGCAAATGCTTGTAATAGAGTACTCAGCAGCCATAATCAAATTTCAAACAATTACTCCATACAATAAACAATGCTTTCTAATTCTATTTATGCCCTGCTTTCATGCATTTTTTTCTTTGCTGACATGAATTTGTGGTTTCGCATTGCATGGACATCCAGTTTATTCAGTCGCAGTGGATAATGTCACTAATGCACTCTCAGTGACTTTGGTGCCAAATGTAATCCTATTGATGTTTTCTAAGAGAATTCCAAGAAGTGGTGACAATGGGCCAGAATTTTCTGTCAAAATAATGGTGAAGATAATGGTGCTCATCATTATTTATATGTAAATTGTATAGTGGAGTAAAATACGAGGTTAAATGTGAATATTGAAAAATTGCTGTCGTGGCTGAGCTGCTCTGCAATCAACCTTGTGGAATGGCATCTTTCTGTACAGAATTGATAATATTTTGATGGTGTGATGGTGTTGCATTTGCATGGTTGATACCAGCCAGTTTCAACAGAAAATTGTGTTATTAATTCATTGCAGTAGAGATTATTTTTACTTTACAATTTTTAAAATTCTCTCTTTACCTGATCTTTCTTTCACAATATCATAAGAAATAGGAGCAGGAGTAAACCATATGATCCCTCGTGCTGCTTGACATTTAATATGATCATGAATGATCTTCTGCCTCGGCTCCACTTCATCTCCCATTTCCCATCATCCTAAATTCTGAGGTAAAAGATCTATCTAGCTTAGTCTTGAATATATGCAATGATAGGGTTTCCAGAAATTTTATGGAGTAGAGAATTCCAAAAGTTCTCAATTCTTGAAATTATCTCTCATCTGTCCTTTATGATTGAGCTGTTATCCTCAGACCATGCCGAATAAATCAACACCTCAATTTATCCCCTATCAAGCTCTTTCCAACCTTATATATTACAGTGAGATCATCTCTCATTCTTTTAAGTTCCAGAGAGTATAACCTCAATTTCCTCAACCCCTCATCAGAGGACATGCTTATTAACCCATTGAACATTTGTTCTCTACCTTTTAAGTAAAGTATATCTTTCATTAGAAATGGAGAACAAAACTGTGCACAGAACTCCACGTGTAGTCCCCCAAAAGCCCTTCACAACGGTAGTAAGACTATGTTATTAGAATAGAAGAGCAATTTATTGTCATGTGTGTTTTTACAAGAAAAAAAGTATGAAAAGTTTTATAAGTCACCATACCATGGGGCCTGTATTAGGGCCATAGAGTCATAGAGTCATACAGCACAGAAACATACCCTTCAATTCATCTTGTCTGCACAGACCAGACATCCAAACTGACCTTGTCCCATTTGCCAGCATTTGGCCCATATCCCTCTAAACATTTTCTACTTATATACCCATCCAGGTGCCTTTTAAATGTTGTAATTGTACCAGCCTCCACCACTTTCTCTGGCAGCTCATTCCATACACGCACCAACCTCTGTGTGAACAAGTAATCCCTCAGTTCTTTGTTAAATCTTTCCCCTCTCATCTTAAACCTATGCACTCTAGTTTGAACTACCCCAGCCTAGGAGAAAACCTTGGCTATTAAAAAAAAAACGAAAGAACTGCAGGTGCTGTAAATCAGGAGCAAAAACAAAGTTGCTGGAAAAGCCCAGCAGGTCTGGCAGCATCTGTGAAGGAAAAAACAGAGTTAACGTTTCGGGTCCGGTAACCCTTCCTCAGAACACCGGACCAAAAATGTTAACTCTGTTTTTTTCTTCACAGATGCTGCCAGACCTGCTGGACTTTTCCAGCAACTTTGTTTTTGACCTTGGCTATTAACCCTATCCATGCCCTTCATGATTTACTAAACCTCTATTAAGTGACCCCTCAGCCTCTGAGGCTCTAGGAAAAAAAGCCCCAGGCTACTCAGCCTTTCCCTATAACTTAAACCCTGCAGTATTCTTGTACTGCAATCCATTTGCAACTAAACATGGTGTGATTCTTGTATAAGTACACTGAGTCCCTCTGAAAATCAGTACTGGTTCATGCTTTTACAAATGTTCTGCTTTTTGACTGTTACTGCGAAATGAACAATTGCACTCTTTCCTACATTGTACTCCAATTTCCACCTTGATGCCCACTCACTTAACAGCCAGAATCTTAGTAATGCCAATGAGAGTGCTGGGAAATGGATTGTGGGGTGGGAAGCAAAACTGGGTTAGATGGCAGGGCGCATGTCTATTGTGTTTTCAATCCCACTGATATCTTCCCTGCAGTAGGCAAGGTGGGAAACCTTCCCTCTCTTTGGCCAATTGAGAATTAAACAGTTCAACCAAAGGCCACTCAAGGACCTCTACCCCCTGTCATTCATAATTTACCAGGATGGTAGGGAATTTTACCAAATTTGGATACCACCAGCTATAACCTGGTGACCTGCTTGCCGGCTTGGGTTGAGATCCTCCTGATTAGGTACTCTGTGGCCCATGGATGGTCAGCCTACCAGCTTTCCCCAACAATAAAGTGTGCTGAAAGACACCCCTGGCCCTAATGAATGCTCACAGTCCTCATGACAGGGTCTCCATAATTGATCAATGAGCCCAAAACATCTTGCATTCACATGAGGCCTTCTCCATGTGGCTGATCCTGCCTGTTGTAGCACTGGTGGGGTCAGAATTACCTAAAGATCAAGTTATTGAGTGTTATATCTTCACAACATTTTCGAATCGGTAAAATAATCACTGAACAAAATTGTTGAAAAATAGCTGATTCAAGAAAACATCAAGATTTCTAAACTATGTGCAAACACTTTTAATCTGCATGGTGATTCTATACTGCTATGATTTTCCTTCTGTATCAGCTATTACAGCCTCTATGATTCTGACAGTTGCTTCAGACAAATACTTAGAAATTTTAGGCAGGTGTAATTTAGTAGTGAGGAAATAAAGTGAGATATTAGAAATGTTCAGAATCAGAATTGCAGCAGGAATCACCGTGAAAGAACTGATTGACTTATTACATCAAAGATAGAATCAACAACCTTACTGATGCGAGTCTTCTTATTAACACCAGTTGTGTGTTTATATTGTAGATCAAGTATTCGGCTGCCACTTGGCTACTTTGTGCAAGCGCGAAGGAACCACAGTTCCAAGATTTGTGAAGCTTTGCATTGAGGCTGTGGAAAAAAGAGGTAGGTGGCTATTCAGTAATATAAACTCCTATGCATCTTTCAGTAGAATTATTTACCGATGATACCATCAGATAACCTCACCTAACTAGAGATGACTCAGTAACTGATGGGAATACAAATACAAAGTTTTATTTAGCTTCTTCGTAATTCACTGTACTGTCACTTAAATACATTTTTACTGCATCAGGATTCAAAGTTCTGAAAAAAAAATGCAAGGCTTCTGGCAATAATATGACAAACAGTATGTTTGACCACTATAAACACTGAGCAGGCACCATCTAAATGTAAAACAAGTACTTTAGTTCATGAATCACACTGCGCTGAATGATGCGGTGATTGGGAGAAAGTGGTGAGTCATGGTGGGTAGCAGTTGGAAGGTTGGATGGGGTGGTGCAATTACAGAATGGATAGAAGTGAGGATTTGTTTTCAGGCTATATCCCTTCACTGATCTGCCTGTGAATGAGAAGTTGTCAATAGCAATAACATTAAAATGTTTCATTAGGGTTTAACAAAAGCTCTTTAGTGTCTCATCTGAATTTCCACCTGACAACTATAAGTTATCACCATCAGTTTATCTCAATATGGGACACTGTAAATGCAGTAACTTGCCTTTAAGTTCATTCATGTGGAGAAATAGTGGGTTGCTTATTTAGCATGTGTGCTTGTAGTTTTCTAAAGTGAATCAGAGATTCACAATATGCTACATACACAACAAGAGTCAGAGGTGGGAAATTTACCTTCTTTCACAATTCAAGTGTTGAAGTACATTTAAAGTGAACATCAGGCATTAGAGTTTTCCATGAATCACCATGAATGGAAGGGAAACTGTGTACTTTCAGGGAAATATCAATACTGCTAGTAAAGAAGCCGTAGTCCTACTGGACTACAAGGTTGTTCTCCCATAGCAGAGAGACAACTGGTGATGGTGTACCAGATCTCAGGCATGAGATGAACTTGAGAAGATGTGACGTTCAGGGTAACATCAGCCAGTGTGGGAATTGAATCCATGTTGTTAGTATCACACTGCGTCACATCTCTTAGAATTGCTGGTGTTATTTGCTTTGTTTACAAAACATTACAACCTGTCGGTAATTCATAAGATTCGACTAAAATTGTGCTTGTAGATGATGAAAGGAGGTGTTCTCATATCAAAGTGATACTAGAGTTGGAAACAGTTCTGGGTCCAAAAATTAAAATTTTATTTCAAAAGTATGAAAATGGGGCACAGTTCACAGACTGGAATTTAGTAGGTTAAGGAATGAACTGATCAAAGTCTTAACTGGAAAAGACAGGGTTGATAAAGATAAACCATTTCCACAGTTTGGGGCTCTAGAAGGGGCGAGTGCTGTAGTCTGAGAATTAGGGCAAGTCCATTCAGGAGAGATTTTAGGAAGCACAAAGGGTAATAGTAGATGTTGGAACTGTCTTCTACAAAAAGCAGTGGATGCTGGATTGTTGTTGATTTTAAATCTGAGTTGGATAAAGTTTTGTTAAGCAAAGATATTAAGGGATAGGTGCCAAAGGCAGGTATATGGAATTAGGCCACAGATCCATCATGATTGCATTGAAAGGTGGAACAGGATTGAAGGGCTGAATGGTCAACTGTTATTACTATGTTCCTGTCTACAGGGAAGAAAAAACACATTGATACAGCATACGATGTTGAACTCAGTAATTATTGTGTGAGCACAAATTTTCTCTGCATCTAAACTGTGCCATATGTGAGCTGAGTGTGTTTGGGTCTGAAACTCAGTGCAAAATAAACACTTTGTTTGTAATATCACTCATTATGTCAATTTCAGTTCAGCTAACTTGGTAGCATTCCCAAATTTTAAATCAGACACTTATTAATGCACATCCCACTCTTGCATTTGGGTACACATTCCAATCTAACATGGAGAGGCTTGGCATGCACTAGCCCCTTCTTATGATTCAGGAGGAATTGTGAGGACATGAAAAATAGTGGAGGTGAAATGGGCTAACACAGCTGCATGGGTCCATGCTCCTGAGGAGAGGCAAGGAGGCTACTTGAAATGGAAAACTTACATTTCAATGCTCTAACAAGGATAGATGCCATTTTCACAGCAAGTCTGATGACAGACTGTGTGCAATCTTAGATACAATAATGTCCACGATGGCAACACATTTCCTAGCCCCGGTTAAAATCAGTTATAAAAAGATACAACAAATTTTGTTCATTTCCAATATCCCTGACTAAAAACAGGTTCATCTTACTTGCTAGTTTTGGGGCCTTACTGCTACATATGCCTATGATAGGAGTGAGTACGTTTCAATATAAACTATTATCCTTCAAGTACCTTAAAATGCCCTAAGCATTTGAAGATTCATAAAAGAATAGATTATTCTTTTGTTTAATAGATAGAACACACAGACTGTAAACGTAGGTCAAATGATAATAGGTACATGCTTTGCCCAATGCTCCAGAATTAAACCGAAGACAGACAACAGTAAATTGCATTTACATAGCAACTTATCACAGAAAACTTCCCAAACAGCTCTATAAAAGTGGGAAGGGATAGAAAATAAGTTAATAAGATACATAAATAAGATTAATGGAATAAACGAGCCACCACCATGCAAGAGTTAAGAAAGATGATTGAAAACATGGTTAAAAAGATAGATTTTAAGAAAGATTTTAAAGACAGAGGAAATAGGTTTTGCAGCACTGAGGCAACTAAGAGTCTACAAGTAGATTGGGTGAATGATTTTGAGAAGCAGAACTAATAGAGTCTAAATACCTCTTAGACTGAAACATTATTACGTTCACCAAGGCTATGCTCCTAGAATGCAGTTGCAACTAACAGGAGTTCATTCTGTAAAATCAAACACAAAGGTTAATGAGATCAATCCGTGGCATTCCTAATTTTTGGATGATAGATTTTAATCACTAAAGTCAAGAATACCATGAATCAGGGGTATTGACCTCTATACTCTTTTCATTATACAGTGGTACTATTCAGTAAGCCACTGTGCTGAGGGCATAGCTTCGTTGAGTTTACTCTGTAATGTAGCATCTAATATATTTACAAACTTTTGTTAGCAATACCCCCTGTGAGACAGTGAGTTCTTTGTGATCTACAGCTTGTGTGTCACATTCAAATAAATAAATATTATATTAATAAGGACTGGGCTATTTCAATGTATTTTTTTATTAGGTTTAAGGTCACCATCATCTGTGGGATCTTTTCACAAATCTGACAACTGGGAACTATCTGCACTTCTGACTTTCAAAAACTCAGTGGGGAATTTATCAAAACACTTTTGGGTCAGAATTGAAAGGCTCATCTCTGTGTGGGCTTACAAATGCTTCATTTTCAGTTCCCTTGCATTAGTTTCACGGAATTATAATGAGATTCTTACAGCAGCGTTGTATTCCCACCAACATTGAGAAACTTGAAAATGATTAACATGTTATAAATGCAGCTTTTTGATCCATCTGAAAAATATAGGCATTCTTCATCATCATAATCCAGTGACTGAAAACTGCCCACTGCACAGCTAGACTCAAGAGATTAATTTTCCTAACTGCTTTTAGCAAGAACAGATCTGTTATTTGGACATTGCCATTTTAACAGCAGTTTACAAGCACCCCAATAAACATTAGCATGTTTCTGGCAGTTGACAATTACAGAAATTAGTTCAATTTAATACTTTTAATTATAGAATATTGCTATTTGTCTTGCACTCAGCGTGTACTGTTGTACATGCACCTCATTTCAGTAATATTCAAGTTCTTTACTAACAAGCAATGTTGTTTATTGCTATTAAGAAAACATAAAGCTTCCCTTAAGCTCAGGCTTTAACTTAACACCTTCTAGATTCATTGGAAGTTCACAACTTAAAAAACAAAACATATCAAGAAAAACTTGCATTGTCTCATACCAACTGAATCATATTTCAAAAGAAAAGTACCCAGCAAAGTGCTTTCTCTATACATTTCACAATGTTAAGAAAATGACTGGCCCTTTTTAATTTTTCCATCAGACGAATCACATCTTTTTCTTCAGTTTTTCACATAGTCTACTGGTTTGTAAAAATAATAGCTTTCCACCAGTCTTATGCTTAATACGTGTCAATGCCCTTGAAAGTATACATGTTGCTTCAAAATCTACTTTCTTGATTATTTTCCCAACTACCAATACCATTGCACTTTGAATCTAAGGAAATGAAAGGAAATTTCTCACTGGTCTGGATTGGTCTTTTTCAAAATTTAAAGAGCAGGAGATTTAAATGATTTGGAAGCTATGAGTTCCATAGACCTTATTAACTTTTTAAGCAAATTATATGTCTGTTCTGAACAATTCCAAAGGGGTACCTTGACCTCTCCAGATGGGTACCTCTCCAAAAGAAATGTCTGGACATCTCCAAAGAGGTAACTGACATTTGCCAAATGAACCTGACCTGTCCCAAACGTGCATCTTCTCTTCTCTGAAAGAATGTCTTACCTATAATTAATATTTTGAAAACCTCAATCATGAAAATTGCTGCATTTTTCTATGTGCTGTTTATGTCTATAAACACTGCTCCGTAACTGCACTACTAGCAAAGATGATATGTGTCAGATTATGGCTTCAGCACCGTTTTGGTATTTTCATGAAATTTAGGCCCAGATTTTACTTTATAATGCTACAGTAAAATGTCTTGTGATGGTTTATTTTGTTAAAGGCACCACATAAGTACAAGTCATTGTTGTTTAACTCTATCCCAATTATAGGTTTGCCATGGTACTATTAGCACATTAAATTACAACGGGATTTATACCTTTTAGCTCCTGGAATCAAAATAGATACTAATCTGAATGCCTTGATCCTTGCCTCTTCCCAAATACCTTTACATCAAAATTAGAAGGTACGTCATATGTGGCACACAAAACTGAGTACCCACGAGCTGCTGTGGGTGGTCAGCAGTCGCACAATTATATTCAACCATAATCTGTAACTTCATGGCCCAGCTTGTGTATGAGGTTACAGACTGGCTC